TACGTTAGCTTCTATTTTCGTTATTGTATTTCAGTTTGAACCGGCATACGGTTTACATCATACGACTTACAGCTTAGCTTACAGCACGTGGTTTAATTCTACCTTCGTCTTGGCACGTGATTCGTTTCATTTGAGTTTGTATGGAACATTGATCTCTGTCAATTAAACTTTGTTTACATCGTAGTCAGAAGTTCTTGTCGAGTTCGTTTTAACACTACGCACTGCTCTACGCATGTGATTACTTGGATTTTTGGCCTGCTATATTCTGTCCTTGTAACTCACACTTATGACATTTAGTTTCAACTTGGTAATGAAGTGTTGCAGTAATTTTTGGCGATTTTCTTTTTGCGGCCTTGTAAGGGAATGCTTGCAGTTCAGAAGCTATGTTGTTCCCTGGAGGGGATGCTGAGCCATTTACGGAAACCAAATCTGTGTCAGTCTGCCCCATAAATTTACCTGAACTCTGGTCTGAGAGTGACACTGAGAGTTAAGTGTCTTGTCCAAGAACACAAGCCTGTTTCTACAGCAAAACCTCAAACCCAACCCTTTGAACTATACACTATTACCTCACCATCCCTCTCATATTAATTAAAAGTACAGACACAGTTTTCTGGAAGAGTTATCCAGGGAATTTCTTTCCGCTATTAACCAAATCTGCATGGTCAGATAATAATATTGTTCTAACAGATATATCAAAATTTAATTAAATAGAAAGGCAGGTACAAAAGTTGGACCGGATCAACACGGAATGCCACATTCCAGGTCGGATCAACTCGCATCATAGAAATAAAAAATAAAATTAGAGGAAATTGAAACTTTTACACATTTCAGGGTTAAATTCCTCTCAAAAACAGGCCAAATTAAGAAAGACTAAATAAATACTACAGTTCTCTCTATTGTCAAGCTGCCGTAAGTTTTCAAGATTAGTGCCAGTTCCTATTGGATCAAGTTGTGAACTTGTGACCTGTGCATCCAGTGCTGGGTTGCATGGGACAACCATTTGACTTTTGAGGGGTGGGGAGGGAGTGTGATTTTGAAAAAAAGTTTCTACAAGCACACGGCACATTCACACACATTCAGTGAGCCGTAAAAAGCATGTTGCACAGAGAAAATACCATGAATACACAGAATAACATTAGATATATATCCAACTATCTAACATCCAATAGAATATCTATCTTACATAGAAGAAAATTCCTTGTGTGTGAGAGGGTTAAAAAAATTCCTGCCTATACCAGATCAAAACTCAAATGGTTGTCTCATGCAACCAAGTGCTGGACAGGGGTTCACAACTTGATCCAAGAGGAACTGGCATTAAAAATACAAAATGGCAGCTTGACACGAGTCTTTCTTGATTTGCCCTATTTTTGAGAGGAATTTTAACCTTCAAAGTTTCAATATCCTACCTACAAAGTTTCAATATCCTCTAATTTATTATTTTTAATGATCTGCTGTAATAATATAAAGAGTTAATCTTGTCTAAATAATATTATATACAAAAAGGGGAGGAGGGAGGCGGAGGGCAATAGAAGGACCATAATGCAGTTGGTGTAAGTATAACCAAGTAAGTAGTAATAAATGTTGTACTGTAACTGTAGTGTAAGTATTTTAAAGTAAGGAATGTAACATAATATAAGTGGAACTGAGGAGAAGGAACGCGCTGAGCTGGGACTTACATCGTGGGCCGCAACAGCAGCTGTGGCCAAGAATAGGGACAGATGGCGAGCATTGATCTCCGGCCCTATCCCCCACTCGGGGGCAAGGAACTAAGCAAGCATTTCGTGTAACTATCTTAATGTAGGTAATGTAAGTATTGCATGGTAAGAAGTAGTGTTTGCAAGTAATCTGCAATGTGAGTAGTTTTGTCTGTGAGTCTAGAAATAAATAAATAAAAAAAATAAATGATCCGAATTGATCCAAGTTCATCTGACCTGGACTGGCAGTCCAAGTTCAATGGTGCTTTACAATGTTTATGATTAACATTAAAAGTACTTCACCTACTTAAAATTACAATATCATTATAGGAATAAAAAGAATAACTCCATATAAAACAAAAAAATGTGTAACTTAATTGAAAGTCTAATGCAGTCCGACTTTTCTGTACCTGCCTTAATCTATCAAACAGAAGAATCAAGGTTTGTACAATACTGCATTATTTTTTTTTTAATCACCTGAAATCATCAACACTTTTCTCAAGCCCTTTACCACTTGTGTATTATGTCTTATAATGTATTACCTGTAGCAGTGTCCATTAAACTGTGTTTTAAAACTTATTGTAAACCGTTGTAGCTCAGTCATACCACATGTGAGATACCTTTTCTTAAGTTAAGTGCAAAACAGTGACTTCAATTGATTTAAACTTACATTGATCATTGTGCAATACAAATTGACACTTTAAAAGATAATAATATTACTAAAAATAATATTGTTAATACTGTAATATTATTAACATATAGATTTAGCCAAGCCTAAAAGTGGAGTTCCTGGGCCAGGTTGTTCAAAGTCCGATTAAGCTAACCCAGAATTAGGCAAGAATTTTGATTTGAGATTTGTAACTTTGGGGTGAGATTTTCTGTTTATATTGTTTGGCCTTCTGTTTTGAGTTTGAATAATCTCAAAATACATAAAACATAAGCATTAAAAAACGTTTGTACACAAGAAAAATTTATACTTCAGTTAACTTTTAATCCTGGGTTAGCTTTGACAGGCTTCTGAACAACCCAGGCCTGATTACAGCAAGTTTAAGCCTGACATGAGCCTGCGATCCAATCAAAAACCAGTGCTTGGTCAGCAGTCAGCTTTAAAAAAACGTGACCTCGATGAGCTCTAGACTTGAGCCCACGATATGGTCACGTGATACTGGTCAGTGATACAGTGTTTTGACAGGTTTAATATCAAAGAGGGATGCTATAAACCAAGGCTGCATGTCTCTGTCAACCCATTAGCTAAAGTATAGCTGCCATAACGCACGACTCCGTCGCCACTCTTGCCGCCATTGTGCATATGCACCCATGAGCAATACCGCTAGCTATGATAACCATGAGAAAATTCATTCATGGGTTTCCTTTTCTTTCCTATATGAGTTAATGGGGCTCCACTTGGCAGTCTTTCGGGCTGCCAGAGTTCCACTGTTAAGAACCAGTTAGGAACATGTTAAAAGGATACAGTCCAACAATAACAGCTTCAAGACATTTAATAGGTAAGGATTCCTTTATCATTTCTCTTGCTGTATCCATAAGTCTAATGGAGAGATATTTAGAAACAAAATTTCAGCTCTTGATAGATTGACTCAACAAGATTTCATGATTTGATGGAATGATATTTGGCAGATTTTATCTAGTAGTTTGATTCATAGTCTGTTGAGAGCCCTTCTATTTCCTGTTAAGATTTTTGAGAGCACATTCAAGTAAATTGAAATTTGCAAGGGATTAAATGAGTGAGTGGGGGTACATGAACATTATTTGCAATTCATGTGATTTAATAAGTAGTAAGAATTATGAAAATGCCCCATTCATATGGCTGAGCCAGCACACTTTAGCAGCCATTGGTGGGCAGCAGCTTGATGTGCACTTTGTGCAGGGTTTTCAAGATGTTTTGAAGTAGATGTCTGCAGCTGGAAGAGTAGGCAGCTGTGACAAGTTGGGGACTGCAAGGCCTCTCAGTCTGGGTTCATGTCTCCCTCTCCCAGAAAATTTTTAAATCTACAAGTTAGAAACTAGGAAATGCCATTAACTGCCAGCTTAGGATTGTCATCTTTAAAGGAGTGCGAATCAAGTGATAAAATCATCACATTGGTAAAGGTTTCAAATTTCACATTGCATGTTGTTTTGTCGGTATGCAACCATTCTATCTTTTTTTTTTTTAAATGCAAAATTATTTCCAAATGAACAGTCGTTCTTGCCATTTTACTCTTACTTTTTATTTATTATTATCAATTTCAAAAAGGCCAGCCGAGATAGTTTCATTCAAAATCCCTGTTTTCAAGGTAGAAATTCCTGATACAACACAGTCATGTTTTAACGGCAGGTTTAGATTTCGCTTCACTTCCACATGTGCAGATCAACTCCCCAGAATTTGACAGCTGAAGGAGAAATAAATTGTCAATTATTTTACTTTTATGTCTAATGTGTAAATAGTGTCCCCAATTAGTTTTTTAAAGCTAATTATCCTTTGACATTTAAATAACATCTTTCATTTATTCATTCATTCTAAGACTTTCACTCAATATAATAATACAAACTTAAAACCTATTAATAACAATGTAATTATTGGAACTATTACCCTGCCAATGGCCTCCACTTCTTAATTTCAAAAAACTGAGTTCCTGTATGATTGTATCTATTGGTGTTAAGGAACATAAAGTAATTTACACAAGTAAGAAAGTACTTTGAAATACAAGTATACAAGAACAAGTTTCAGCCTATTTTATTCCTGACAAACATATCATTCAATTCAGGGCAGGAAATAAAAATTGAAATTCAGTTGCCCAGTGAATGGGCCAGTACTTTTCAGTTTTCAGCTGACCCTACTAAAATAATACTTGCCCAATAGGTGTGTAGTGTTCATGCCTTATCTACTACACCTACAGACTAGGTTCTGTATATGATTGGTGATAGACAATAATAGAGAATGAACATGAGCAAAGTATGCTTGGATTTTAAATTGATCCATGCTTTCAACTCATTGTTTTGTTCATCTTGCAGTCTTAAGAGGCTGTCCGTGTAAGAACCGACCACTCGATTTTCGGCCGAAAACAGAATTTCTTCAAATTTTCTGTGTGAGACAGCTAGTCCATATGATAA